ACCTAGGGGAAAGGCTGTGTTTTCCTGCACGGCAGAGATGGATGTCTGCCTTTTGTTGGGCTGTTTACACTAAAGGTGAAGTTCATACCAGACAGCTTCTGCCCTCGCTTCCTTAATGGAAAACGTGGAGAAAGGGGATTGTCGTTATGAGTCTATTCAACTTGCACATTTTCACGATGTGGGGATCAGACTGAAATACAAGACAAAACCTCTGACTTCAGTAAAACAGGAGGTAATTCTTTTATTCAGATTTTAACCTTTCTACCCCAATCTGGCTCCTTCTCTTTCTACAAAGGGTTTGGTCTTTTCTTCCACACTAAGTGTATGAATGCCTCCTCACATGATGCAGATATCATTGCTAGAAAGACTTGCATGTCGGTTTTCCAAGGAAGATATAGCAGGCAGCAGGAGGAAGTTAGAGCTGAATGAAGAAATTATAATCTTGCGGCAATAACCTCATTCTGGCGTGACCCACTACTGGACCATAAGACATGAGAGGCCATCCCTGACCGCCCCAGGAGAGCTGCAACTGCGGCGCTGCTAACGCTCAGAATTCGATCAAGAGCCCTGTGATATTTATGGGGACAAGGCTCTTTGGGTAAATCCGATATCTTTTATTAGACCAACTCAAATAGTTGGAAAAATTCTTCTTTGCAAGCTTTCGGGTACAAACACCCTTCGTCAGGCTGAGGAAGCATCTGCAGTTGGTGCGTGCTCTCTCTTCCTGGATGGAATAGCAAAGAAGCCAGAGGCTGGTCTGCATGCGAGAAAGGCAGTCAGTGAAATGTAAACTGAGGCAGTCAATGAGTGAGACACAGGTGTGGGGAAGGGAGGGGAATGAAAGTAGCTGTTAAATAGTAGACAGGTTTATGGCTTTCCTCCAAGGCCCTGCTCCTCACCTCTTGTGACTACACAAGGGTCTTGGCTTCCATTTTTTAAAAATTAAACATTTCCAGACATCCTGGTTACTAAGGATAGTTTGAAAGTGTGGCCCAAGCGAGCCACCAGTGCTAAAGGCAAAGGGACCACCACGGTCACCCAGCCCAGCGCTCTGTACACCTTGCCTGTAGACCGCTCCCCGAAGCTGGGAAGAGGCAGGTCTTTTGGGAAGAAACCCAAGCTCATGTGGAAGTCTCCAAGGCGTGATGAGTCCACCTTTTCTTCTGGCAAGCTAACATCAACTCCCACCCAATGGATCTTATTATCTTTTTGTCTTGAAGACTGAAAAATGTCCCCAGTGAGATCTCTGTTTCATGTGTAAAGTACCGATGTGCAAAAAGGAAGATGTGCGAGGTGAGGTAATAACTTTCATTGGACCAATTTTATAGCAGGAAGAAAGTTGGACAATTTTGGGGCATTTCTCCCAACTATGAAGTTGGCCCAGTAAAAATCTTCCTTCTCGCACATTCCTGGAATCAAGACAGCTACAACACGCCTCAGTACAAATAAAGAGCCATCAAGTCACCTCCTATCGATTTCTTTCATAAACTGAACTGAACTCCTTAATCCTTATAGCACGAGGCTTGCTTTTCCAGTGGCTGGTCATGTTTGCAGCCTTCCTTTGAACTGCTTCCAATATTTCCATCTCCTTTTTGAGATGCAGACACCATAAAAGCTCAAAACCCAAAAGGCAAAGAAAAAGAATTCCCAAATTATTTTTTTAGGCAAATCTGTTAGGGCCTCTGGGCACTAAGCAATGACAACGCTGCCAGGAGCCTCCTCATAAGGAAAAAAATAAATCCTGAGGAGATTAGTGTCATTTTTCACTGGAAAAGCTGACTGAGGTGTATTGCAAGACCAGTCCGGTTCTCTAAACAGCGTTTCCAAAACACGGCTGCAGAGCAGCCAAGCATGCGAGAGCTGCTCTCCCCTCGTGTGCAGGTCCAGGGGAACACAAGCATCCTGCCTCAGGCAGCTTAATTTGCCACCCTGCGAAGAGCTGCAGCTCAGCGGATCTGCACCTGCCTACACACCAGCACAGACTTTGGCCCCGAGTCTACACTTGCAGTTTTCCTAACCACTTGCAGCGATTAGCTGTCACACTTCTGGATCTTCTTCCTGTTCCGCTGCAGTTAATGGCAGTATTTTCACTATCCAGGATCTCACCCTTGCTACGCACAGCACCCGCTCTAGCAAAACAGGGTAACAACAATTTGCAGGACAAGCACTGAGCGCCAGCGCAGGGGGAACTGGAAGACCGCTCAGGAAGAGCAGGGCGGTAGTGCACAGACGCTGGGGACACATCACTCACTTTGGGAAGATGGCAGTCATGAGCGCCGACGCATACCCAGGCTTGCAAACCCCGTCGGAGTAATTTGCGTACTTTGATGCTAGTTCTGGAGGCCTGTGGAGAGAAAGAGAGGAGAGTCACGACTTTTCAGGGTATGAAATGCCAAGCGTGTCACCCTGACCCTTTTATTGTATAAATATTTTCCTAACAGCTCTTCCCGAAAACGGCTCTGAGCAGAACACGCAAAGATGGAAGAGTTTTTTACACAGCTTTTTACACTGGAACGAGAACATCAAACCAGTGAGCGGGGTGAGGTTTTTCTGAGATACACTCACAATATTTCTACTGAGGGGGATTTTTAGCTAGGTGACGTGCCTGGAGGGAACCAGAGCTATGCAGATGCTGTTTTATTCTTCTGCCTCTCAAACAGGAGACAAGATAAACAGCAACAGAGACCCACTTGTTCACGCTATCTTTCTACTGCGGACAGACACGAGAGGTCTTGTAAATACTGCACCACCAGACAAGCTTCAAACTTTTTAACCAAGTTGTAAAGCAGATTTCTACTAGTCTCCATCCACCAGCCCATGTTTAGACAAAAAGGGGATGTACGTCTCTAGCGCTCCAGACGGACGGACACTGCTGCCACTGTTCTGAGCCGTAGTCTGAGAGCTCAGCCTGTCATCACGAGCTCAGGATACCGCTCTCTTCTTTCAG